AACACGAATCAATTGATATTTTAGGTGAAATAAATATGTATGTTGCTGTGTTTGAAAACAGGTGAATGGCGTAAATTCGTCCTTTAACTGTATTTTAATACAAGGCAGGCTAGGACATGCAATGTGTTATTTTTTGTTGACCAGACTTAAAGCAATCATTACCACAAGGTACCTGTTTGGAATATTGCTTATCTTTTTAAAAAATATCACTTTAATGATGGATTTTTGGGCAATTAAGAAATATTTTATTTTTTCGGCAAATATAAACACGAATTTCTTAATCTTAATTGTATCGATCGCGTTGATATTTTTGAGCATGCTAATAAAATGTATGTGCTACCAGCTCTTGAAAGCGGGACGTTTGATATGTCTTAGTCACATAATTAAGTATGTTTTACTATATGTATACAATTTGTCAAATATTTGTATCCTCCAACACATCGGCCATATTAATATACACTATTGATGTATTATTTTGGTGAAACTTATGCCAGAAGGTACATTTTGATAACATATCTTCGATTGCAGACAATGGAGATATATGATTGAGTGTAGGTATTTCTGTCGTGAATTGGAGTTGTCTTTATTAGGCTGTCCAATATTTTGTATCCTCCAAACATTAAAATATCATCTTTGGGAAAAATATTTTTAGATTATTATTTTGAGTAATGAAAGTACTTAATAAAAGGCTTTAGATCAAAATTATGTAATTTTGGAATTATTTGAATTGTCAAAATGACTTTAAAAATATGTGAAATATAAACGTACAATCAAAAGTTAGTTGTATTCGTATTTTTATGTTTATATTAAAATTACAGCAAAGAATGAGTCATTGCCAAACCAAAACAATATATTTCACTCTCACTTTCACATATTCATGTTCATGTTATATCTTTGTGGGAATAGCGATGTATGTAACCTTTACAGTTCTATTCAAAATGCTATAGCTTTCTTTTGATTTCCATGACCGGCACATAACCATACCACTTTGAATGACGTTTCTCATTCCCTCATTGCCCACGCTGCGTGTTTTTTCATGATATTATATTTTGAATGCCGTTTGTCGTTCCCTATGATGAATGTTTGGCCTTTGAACTTCTGAGAGCTTGTAGATGATTCTAAAACACTGAATTGGTCAATTTGAAGCAAGTTGGTAAAATACCTTCTTGACCTTGAGAAGGTCAAATATTGTTTTTGACCTTGAGAATATCATTGAAGGTCAAATCTATAGTCAAGTTTGAACTTTTGAGAACTTCTAGATGATTTTGAAAAAAGAATTGGTCAATTTGAAGCAATTTGAAAAGTACCTTTGACCCTTTTTGACCTTGAGAACGTCAATGAAGGTCGAATCTCTAATCTAAAGTCAGATTTGAACTTCTGATAACCTGTAGATGATTTGAAAAAATGGTCAATTTGAAGCAAGTTGAAAAAAATATCTTTTTGACCTTATTTGACCTAGAAAAAGTCACCGAAGGTCAAATCCTGAAGGTCAAATAGAAAGGATGTCGTTCAAGATCGCACGTACGACCCCCCCAATTCCCCCACACCCACACATCCTGGCTAAGGGCCTGAGTAATATAAAGAACGACTTCAGACAAAAATGTGCGTGCGTGTTATTTAGAAAAAGAAATAACCCCAGTAACTTAAAATCATGATGGTCATTTCGAAAAGCTCTTTAAGGTTAGACGTAATCAAAAGCTACGAAAACCAAATTTAGTCTCCTGTTTAAAAAGCCCTTCTTCACTAAATTGGTTAGATTCTAGGTTTGCTCAGTAACATATTTCTCCTACTAACGAGAATAACCAGAATAGTGGAACCAATTCTAAAAAATCTTAAAATATACTTTACTTCATCATCTAGCTTAGACACTTGCTCGTACAAGTACTAGGTTTTTATTTTATCAAGCAAAAGGTAACGGTTAAAAATAGAAAATAGGATTTCATTGCTTCACAAAAAACGTTGTAGAAACGAACGTTTTGATAATACAAATACAATATTTTGGGATGTCAAAATCCACCTCATTCTAAAAAATGTGTCTAAATTCCATGATGATCACTTACAGAATAAAAAAGCTAGAAACTTCTTAAAAGCTCTCCTTATCAATCCTTCTCTTTTACATTTCTTCCGTAGGAGGATAAGTAATATTAGGGGGTTTAAGCTTGCATGTAAAATCGAAACGCGAACCTATGTTTTGTACCTTACCGTAACGAGCATTATACCATATACTACATTGATAGTTTGTGAAGTTTGAACTAAAAAATTCACTGTCATGTTCACTGTCTCGGATGTTGTTACAGACATTTACATATAAAAATATCTAGAAACTAGATTAGATCTTTCTGAAAAGATGAAAACATCAGTGCTCAAATGTCATCACCCTCGTGCTGTACCTACAGTGCGCGCGTTCACCTGTCACGCCTAATTTGGTACACACCCTGTGATAATAGGACCCGGTTCATTCACTTTCAAAACTAAACTAATTGAAAGACTTAACACACATAATTAAAAAAAAGCCGAAAGGAATATATTACATTAAAATACCCTTTTGTATACAAAAGAGTGAAAATTAATAAATATTTTGCTTTTCAACATTATTTATAATGTATGATGTTATAAAGTAGGCCATGTCATAGTAAAAGGGGTACTCTTGGGATGATTAATGGAGTCTAATAGAAATGTTTCCTCCAAAACAGATGTATTGGAGAATTCATGATTATTTGACACCCTTTTCTGGAAAGACCATATTAAATGAAGCCACAAACTTTATAATATAGTGAGGGCATCGGAGAAGAACTGTACATGTAAAATTGTATGAACGTATGTCTTGCCTATAACCGGACAACTCATCCCCTAGACAACTCATCCCTGGACAACTCATCCCCTAGACAACTCATCCCCTGGACAACTCATCCCCTAGACAACTCATCCCCTGGACAACTCATCCCCTGGACGACTCATCCTTTGGCATGTTTGAGTAATTTAATGTAATATTGATAATTCATATATTATTCAAATGATTTTTAAATGTCTTGGTTATCATGTTCTGTTTTAAGTTTCAAAATCATATAGTACATGAGCACTGGTACTCCACTCGATAATGTTGTAAACAGACCGTTTAGGTAACAAAATGCCTCAAAAGTATGATTTTTGTTTTTTCCTTATTCCTCCAGTTGTAGGCAGAGTATCATTTGTCTAAGAAAATGTACATGTGTGCGAACAAATAGTTCAGAAGATAACACGATCCTCGATTTGATACCTCACTTTTGATCCTTGATTTAATACCTCACTTTTGTTCCGTAAACATAACCTCAAAAATGATCTGCACTTCTAACTCTTTCCATTTACATAACAATAGTAAGGTATATTAGCGACGATTCTGTTGTCTTCTGAGTACAAGTGAACAAAGACTTTCTTAAAGGGAAATCTGGAAAGTTGTTTAAAAAACTATGATATACCATGGTACTATATGGTATTGTCAAGGAGATAGTCAACCAATAATATGTAATTTGTTTTGTAAATATTTACCTTTAATTTTACTTTTAATATACAATTTCAATATTATGTTAACATTGATTGAAGAAGCTTTTTTGATGTCATAAGCTCCTTTGATGTCATTATATGTTCGTTGTTCAAAGTTCAAAAATTCTTTAATTAAGATTATTTTTTCATAGCAGTCACAGATAAAGTTTCTGAAGTTCATGTTTCAAAATTATGCAGAGAGAAAACTTTATTTTTTTGTCATGAAATATTAAGTCATGTAATATAAGGACAAGAGATGAACGTTTTAATGGCACTGTTTGACTGTTTGACCATTTTATTGTGTCAATAAAGTGAAAAATAATATTTAGAATGATTCAAAATATATTTAATAAATATTTATTTTCCAAAAAAAACTTTACAATTTGTGATAAAGGATGAGTTGTCTAGGGGATGAGATGTCCAGGGGATGAGTTGTCCAGGGGATGAGATGTCCATGGGATGAGTTGTCTAGGGGATGAGTTGTCCAGGGATGAGTTGTCTAGGGGATGAGTTGTCCGTAAGCCGTCTTGCCCATGTTATCGCTTTTGACATAGGGGTCGTTCAAAATAATTTGCGGCTAATAATTTCAAACGATAACGTTGACTCTATTTACATTTTTATTTTCACAATTCGATACTAATATCCAAGGAAACATGTCTATTGTTTGTTTGGCACACACAACCGTGTTAAATAATATCTTATTTGAAATTAAACCAGACTTATAGAACGATTAACGAAAATATGTTAATTTTTTATTCCTTTGACAATTGATCAGGTAACGAAATGCCAATATAGTTCCATTGGTGCCGCTTACGAATTTATAAAATATAATGTGTTTCCTCTACAATCCCAGAAAAAATATCGTCATATGAATATTTTAATTTTCAAATTTTGTATTTTTTGAAATATCAATTATCGTAAATTGACCCTTATGAGCAAAATAATCGTGTATGATTATCAAAAATTGGTCTCGTATTTTTTGTTAAATGTACACCTGAAAAGTTTAAGGTAACAAAAAATGAGCGAAAAGGGTCGCTGTCGGCAGATTCTATTTTTCAAAAATATGACGTCACAATATGGGAAGATTTAAAATGATATATATAGGTTATTTACTGGGAGGGATTGAATATGACCGAAGGGTAATATGATATTGACCGAGGGAGCGCAGCGACCGAGTGTCAATATCATATTTCCCAAGGTCAATATCATATTTTCCGAGGAATAAAACCCATATTCAATCCCGACCAGAAATAACCTATTTATTCCATAATACATTCCTCCTTAAAATGTTACATTTGAATGCTTTTATCAATTAGTCAAGGTTAAAAATAACCGGGAAAACCAAAAATAGGTTAATACGTTCCAATACGATTTTTGTCCCGGGGACAATACGATTTTTCCATGTAATACGCTCCAATACGATTTTTTCCCGGGGACAATACGATTTTTTCATGTAATACGATTCAATACGATTTTTATTCCTTCATATTTCCCTGGGAAAACAGTAGTATTATGGAATAAATAACTTTAATTAGAATATTACGTTATATTCCAAAGAATTAAAGTTACATTCATGCGATACCCTAAAATCACAAGTGCGCCACCTTTTTGCGACGTGTCTAATTGATGGTATTAGATCAGTATTTCAGGCCTAAAATGCCAAGTGCAAAGCTATTATCGCCCATCTGAAAATTGATCGTTTTTTACCCAAGATAAAGTTAGACATCGCACATATTTCCATCTTTGCAAATACCTTAGATATCTTAGGTATTTAAAAACAATAATTTTGTACTGAAATACTACAAAAATTAAGTCAAATATTGAGGAGTTCGCATAATTGCCGGAATAGGCGGATTCGAATTTTTTGAAGCAAAATTTAGGATGGGTTCGCACGAACCCTCCACGGCCCTGCTTTGCACAGAGTACACATCATCCTGATACTCATCGCATATTTCCTTTGTAATACTGAGAAGAAATGACGTGTCATGTTTTTTCATGATGAGTTAATATGATGGTACCTGCACTGTGTCTGTATTGCATCGTATGAGTGGAGCTGCATTTTGATTGTCCAGACGACGATTAACTTTGGAATACTGCGTCTCGGGAGTACTTAAGTCCAAAGTGGTACCTGGCAGTCGTCCGAAACATCCCTTCAAAAGCCTCGCGTATCCCTTCTTTATCTCCCCTGTTCTCCATCCATATATGATTGGGTTTGTTATAAAGTTGACATAGGGGATATAACATATAAACGTATTGTGAAGTTTTTGCAGAGTTGCGCTCCAGTAGTTGTAGCGTATTAACTTAACTGTTATGTAAGGTACGGCGGTTAGGATGAGCGTTGTCATAAGTATGACGCTCGTGGCGAACGCCTTGTGATTCTCTTTGAGCTGGGTAGATCTTCCCATTTGTGACAAACGCAAAAGACTAATAGACACTTTAATATACAGGAAAATGACAATAAAGTAGATTATTCCGAGCAGACATGGCCAAACTTGGTCCCACGATATGTTCACGTCTTGACCATGGAGAAAGGCGGCGACTCCCGGGAGGCTTATGATGAGAGATGCCAACCATGCCAAGGCGATGCAACCGTACATATGCCACTTCTTGGATACATTAGCGTATAGTGTCGGTTGAGAAATGGCGATATATCGCAGAACTGCGAGGATAAGTAACAGAGAAGCGCTTGTGCAGTAGAACGTGGCAAACAAGATGACGCTGACCGCGTGACAATGAGCAGAGAATGTTAAATGATGTAATGTGTACCAGGTAGCACCTCCAATCATCAGCCGGGGAAAGATTTCTAAAGATGTCGACAAAGCACATAACATATCAGCTATTGAAAGATTTATAAATAATACATAGATAGCACTGTAATTTGTCACTACCCGATTTATCACGATTATGCTTAAAATATTAATAAAAATTGCACAAACGCACAATAAACCAGCAATAATTCCAAAAGTCACGGCCGATGAAAATTCCTCGACAGCAAGAGCGTTCGGTGTGAAATTGTAATAATCGATAGAAAAATTAAAGTTCAGCTTGAAGTAATCCGTGAAATTAAAATCGGTGGTCCCATTATCCTCATTTTTAAAATCCATTTTACTTAAGTCACAACAGAAGTCCCGTTGTTTGGTTTATTGAGAATATATTTCCTATATATCGTGTCTAGTCTTACTCATCGATAGTATTGTCGAATGTCCATCATAGTTATCCCAATTCCAGAGGAGACACTTTTGAAAGTACAATCAGAACGAACAAATCAATCACAGTTGACGAGAACAAGCTTCGTTGAACGGCTTTCATTAAACTAATGTCGCAATTAATCTCCGTTTGGAATACTATATCCTGCATACATCAAAATAGATAAACCTTCAATAGACCTATAAATAGCATTAAAATGTTTCAATCAACGTAATTGTTACAAGTTCATCTTTTCAATGACTCAAGATTGGCTCTAAATCCAAGCGTGTGAACGGACCGACTGCCCGGTGCACCGCGTTGATCTAGCTTAACTAATGATTTGGGTCTGTGGATGGTTTATATTTACAATCCAGTCAGTGAATATTTGAAATATGTGTCTGTAATCTGTGTGTATAATTACAATACTTGTGTAAAAATCCAACCCTTCAATATATAATTCCAATTTCATCGTTCTCATAGCACCTATATCACCTATTGAAATGACTACTGTAGCTCTTCCTACGCTCTCGTTATTATGTCATTACAGAGGCAACATACTGTCCGTGTCCTTTTACTAGTATCCATCTTTGGTCCAAGCGTATTTCACTTCTTTCCATAAATAAGTAATAAGTGAAGTCCTTTGAATGAAGGATGTATTTATCAGACTACAGCGCTTCTAGAACATTGAAGCCAGAACAGAAATATCCAGGAGAGAGAATTCAAATCCGCTGGTCTTGGATCCTTACAAAGTGTTTGTATTTAAACTTAGAATCTTCCGGGTCTCTGAGGGAAAGATGGCGATCCCCGTCTAAGGGAATTCGGTATGATAGCAAATTAAAATGGCTTCTTCATTGGAGTATTATATTATTTTTGTGTAACGTAAATCATTCCACACATGGCTAACATCTTTCAATTTGCATAACACAATACTATTCGTATACAATTAAAACTTAAGTGTGTGATACTTAACACGTGAAGATCGACGCCTCTCTGTACCACTGTAGGCCATATTATTTCTCATGTTTCCCCCTATTTATGATAGGCTTCCTGTCATAATTAACACACTCTGTGCGAAATTGAAAGATGAAGGACATATTTTAATCAGGAATGTAGGAATCTGACTTAGAATTACATGTGATTTCCATGATTACTATATGCATTAAATTGCCATCATTTGGAAATACCCCTCCCCAGCCCTGAGATATATATAGAGATTATCCTATATGCGGTTCAGGATATTGGGATTATCCCTGCGGCCCTTTGGCAAATATATTATTATATTTGCCAAGGGATAATCCTAATATCCTGAACCGACTATAGGATAATATGTTTATCTCATAGCAATCTTGTTCACATTCTTCAATCGTGGACATTCATGTCCAGTTTTGTTTTCTTGGCCGTGGGCGGATTTTCCTGTTCTCTCAAATATTCCCACATTTATTTTCTCGAATTTTTTGATTGATTAAGTGGATGCTCCTTCCCTTTTTTAAACCATCAAACAGATCCCGATTGTCTGTGTTTTCTCCATTGTCGTTTACAGCCATTACGCGAACGTTACAAATTATGAACAAATATGCGAGCGGCGATTATGACGTAGCGGGCAGATGTACGTAAAGCTAACAGTATGGATAAAGTCCTGAGTAAGGACACTAGCGGTTACCGTTAGTGATTTGGTTTTCTGTATAAAAAGTCATTTTTCTCCTTTCCTACCCCATTGGAGCGCCATTTGGCGTTTGGGAAGTGAATTGGGACTAAATATTTATAAGGTAGGTCCTGATTTATCTGAAAACATGCCAAAGTTCAGTGGGAAATCTCATTTTAAGCTGGCGGCGGAGTGATTTTGACCTTGATGATTTTACCAGAATAGTGTTAGGGTTAGTGTCTTCAAGTTTATTTATCTCAAAAATTCGGTGGACAACCCATGGTAAGATTGTTATAGCAGTCTAGGCGAGTCTCTCCCACTGTGGTATGTTGCAGCAGCACTAGGCTTGGATACTAATCGTTAATAAGATACAGGGTAAAATGTTATAATGGCCACCTATGGGAAACTCTACTGTGGTCTTCAACCTATATCTGCCCGCTGATGAAAATATAAGTTTTTACAAACCGGCTTTATGTACCTGTAATACGCGTACGTCCAAGTATGGGATAAAAAGGACGACACAACACCAGCGATATATTAATTAGTGTTTTTCCTATTACTTTCCAAAATATGACATTTCAGTGTTTTTCTGAAAAATATTTTTCCATAATGGTAGTAGCTATAGCTACAAATAAGGACAATGTTTGATGCAAATATCAATGTTCGTTCGTCCCTTCGGAAAGCTTGGGATAGCTTCGAAAGCATGCGCAAAGATGCGATTCGGTTCGCATGTAAACTGACTTTCTAAATAGCCAGAATTGACATGAATGTAATACGCAAGGCTGTGTTTTATGGATTCGTTCATATGGGTGAGTGGGCCTTTAGATTAAAGTGCCCGATAAAGTATAAAATGCGCATGCGTCCAGGTGTTGATAAACTATAAATAGCGAAAATCCAGGGTTTGTCACCACAAGGTAAGCCAGGACGTGTTGAGAGAACAGCTAGCTGAGCTAGTGTTGATATTGAATTCATAAGTAGCCAGATAAGTTTCCTTATTGAAATTACATATGGTTATTAGCAATACTTTGTAGGTGCTAAATAATAAAATATTTAGAGTATATATGAGAGAAATTGGTCATTTCGAACCTGTTGAAAAGTTTGTGGCTCTCGGCTACACCGGGGAATTTACTTCCATGAGTACACACATAAATGTGGGGTTCCCCAAGAGGTACGCGACAAGGTGACCTGGCATCAAATATGCGACTAAATGCTACTATCGAGAAGATAAAATAACGAATACGGCAATAAGTTATTGCATGTGACAATTCCGAGCCTTCATCTCACTGAAGTATTTTGAAGTGAAAATAGGATTTTTGTTTTGATACATGGATTCAGATGAACGTAACTTTATTCTGACAACTAATCAAAACTGAACAAAATTGATTGTACGTAACAGACAATTTATTGTTTTACAATGTTTTGATTGGCTAAACGAATGAAACCAACAAATTATGACATGTAAAATGACAATTTTGAAATGTAAAATTTAAAAGTGACAAACACAACCTCCCTATCCACTCTTTGGGAGCCCTAGTAAATTAGTAATATGTACATGCAGCAGTGGTAGTGTACAGCTTATTATCACACTACGCTTTGTATTCTAAAGCCTGTTGTTTGTAATAACACTGTTCACTCAACGTATGTTTTGTGTGTGGGCAGTCAACGATAATCATTGTTTTATCCCGGTTATATGACCTCGGCAATTATAACAAAACCGTACTAAACGAAAAAACGCAAATAAGAGAAAGCTTTCACACACATATAAAAAATGAACTAGTCTAATCCGCCAGTATAAACTCTGTGCTATACGTAGCCGGGTCAGGCGCACACTTTAAGAACCGGAAAATAAATGAACCATTTACAACCTGATCTTCATCAAATGAATTTAAGAGTAGAATGTCCATGACACCTAGGCTGATCCGATTCAAATACCACACACAATTTTCCTTATTAGTTTATACCAAATCGGGTTCACGAAATCAGCTTTTGTCTTTTTCGAAAAAAGGAGCCAATCCATCTGTCAATCTGATTACATGCTCGAACAATATCGATCCAATGTTATCTTGTTTTCTCAATCTATTTAGGTTGAGGTTTGATTTCGATCGGGGGAAAGTCCATTCAGAACACAACTGTTATACAACTACAGGGTGTGCCAAAAAAGGTAACCCAAACAGATGTATGATAATAACTCAGTGTCATTGGTCTATCCCTAATAGTATTTTATGGCCATTTACAAAACATGCTCAAAATGCCGAAATGTGCCTCACTGACTGGACATAAATCCCACCAGATTTTTATTTTTGGGCCTATTTCATACACTAACAACCCTTGGAACATTGAAACGAGAGATAAGAAGGAAAATGAGAACCATAACACAAGATGTTTCTGCTCATGTTGTGAACAATTACGCCCAATACGTTCAAGTTGGCCTCCAGACATGACGCCCATATTTTATGGCAGGTTTTGTAAAATGGCCATAAAATCGTGACCACTAGAGAAAGGCCACTTAGACTCGGTAGAATGACAACACAATGAACAGGGCCTAATTGTTCTAAATATGACACAAAACCCATTCAGGATGACTGAGCAGAGCTAAATGCAATTCCAAACATGGAAAATAGATGATGGTACTGAGACAAACATTTTTCAAAAACTAAATCAATTTACCTTATACACTTTCAGATATTAATAAGAGTAATTTCATGTTTGTCTTGGGACGACTTCTGGGACACCCTGTACAGTTGAGATTTAACCAGCACGAACATTGATCTAGCCTGACTTTTAGAGTAAATCGGGACATTTACCACTCAATAGTATTCAACCAAGAAGCCACTCATGTAAGGCAACAAATTAAAAAGGTAATACATATCGAATTTCACTGGAGAACCTGAGGCCATGGACCTCAAAAAAGTTTAGTTTAACTGGATATTTTCTGATTTGGACCTGTGTTTCAGAAATTCGGCTCAATTTTTTTAAAGATTCGGTGCCTACAATTTCATAATGGGAGACAAAAATATTTTGTCGCGTTTGCCCACCTGCCTTGCAATTGTTCGAAAAAGAAAAATTCGTAACCAGGAAGTTCATCCATTTTGTTAAATTGACGTTCCGTCAAAGAAACAAGTTGTGGAACAGTGTGTTCAAAAGACCTCTAGCTATAGCAAACTTTGTAAATATTGTTAATATAAGCCAGGGAACAGGAAAAGGGTATTATCAACATTTTTTCGATATTTTGATTTTTTGCTTATATTCCATCTTGATTCACAAGGTTTCGATTGTTCCTACCTCACCTTGATAAATCTGCCCGATTTAACCGACCACTGTGTAAATAATCCCCATACCAGCTGAGTATACTCTCAATGTTGCTCCTCTTGGCAGTTGCCGCAGAATTTTGTGAGACGCCACAATACCAATCGGCCAATCAACGATGCGATATTTATTCAGACATTTTCAATATTTTGTCACGTGACGAAGCAGAGCGTTCTGATTGGGTCCGTGGACTAAACACCGGGCCATGAACCGCCACATATGAATGGGACAAACAAATTGACCTTTTATGCCACATGGTCTTTAGACCCAGTGGAAAGCGACGATGCTTATCTTCAGAGACCTTTCAAATGAGCCATGACTTATGTCTTATCAAAAGGACGGTGATCAGACCAGTTTTCCTCTGTCGATGTTCATACAGGGTGTCCCGAAAGGTACTGGGACCCCCTCCTAGACAGAAATATACCAATGTCCTCATAGTACGTGTCATATATCATTTTGAAGATTTT